CTATACCCCTTTCCCCCCATACATATTATCTTCTTCCTATTTATTAAACCTGGATTGTCTATTTCCCCCTTACATATTATCTTATTCCTATTTATTAAACCTGGATTGTCTATTTCCCCCATACAGATTATCTTCTTCCGATTTATTAAACCTGGATTGTCTATTTCCCCTATACATATTATCTCCTTCCTATTTATTAAGCCTGTATTGTGTATTTCCCTCATACATCTTGACTTCTTCCTATTTATTAAAACTGTATTTTCTATTTCCCTATACAGATTATCTTCTTCCTATTTATTAAACTTCTATTGTCTATTTCCCTCATACACCTTATCTTCTTCTGATTTATTAAAACTGTATTATCTATTTCCCCCCACCCATCACAATACAAAATCCATAAATGTAGAAAGACAATTCTAGCTAATTTACTGCTCTAGCACCAGAACAAGCAGTTTCCAACCACCAATTTTTTTTTAAATCACCATGGAGGGATTCCCGCTGTTGTTGACCCATGTGTGCAGAGTGGAACCGTACAGCACCTTTCTTCAGGGGTGCATTTTAAACTATGCTCGACCCTGTGCATCCAGCAAACTAAACTTGCAATTCTAGATGAGGTCAGGTATTTCACTAGATGGAATCCTATTTAGAAGGGAGTGTTTATGTTTGAGTGTATGTGTGTATGTATGTATGTGTGTGTGTGCGTGCACGCACATAGCTGTTTGTGTGGGTGTTTGGCATTCAGAGATCGAATCCAACAGCACCTCAGTCACAGAGAAGCCAGACTATTTAGCCCCTCTGACCCCAGGTGCTTACCCTCTGTTGGGAAGATTGATTCCTGGAAATGACTCTCTTTCCCCTCCCTGATGCTTTGAGGCCTTAGCTAACCACTATATATATGTGTGTGCTTGTGTCTGCATGTATATTTCCCCAGCACTCCTTTGGGATGTCTTCTACTCTGCAGCCCAGAAATATTTATTCCAGGCTCCAGAGATTCAATTAAAGGTGTTCTGGAGTTTAGGGATGCCATAGTAATTAGGAGATGATGAAATAAGGAATAGTTTACTGAAAAGGAAAGTTCACTTTTTCTTTATCATATAAGCCAGAAGATACTAATTGTGTCTTAGAGGAAATTCTCCAAATTGCACTCACTAGGTTTTCTGAAACATATCACGTGATCTACAATCTTGATCCTTATTCTTTCTATCAAGGATTACATGTCTTGCCCTTGAGCAGGTGGCTAGCAATTCTGGGAAACCAAATATCGATCTCTTTTATCCTATCATATACTCACATCTTATACGCCAAAATAGTACTACATTGAAGTACTATGTGCATCCTAAAGATGTACTCTCCATTATTTAATTATAAATTCACCATACACAAAATTAACAAACAAACAAATACAAAATTCACATAACACTAATGGTTATTAGTAATCTGGTAGTACAGTAATTAATGCACTCAGCTGCAAGCTGCAAAGTTGGGTGGTTGGATCAACCCGTCAACCTGCAGGAGAAATCTTTAGCAGTCTTCCTCCACAAAGCTGAGAGCCTCAGAGACC